GCGGGGGTGGGGGGATACTGAGCCTGTTCCTGGAACCCAGGCTTCCTGACTCCTCATACAGTCTATGTCCCCTTCACTGTCATTCTCCTTCAGAAATGGCTTTGACCAAGTTCATGTTATTTCTCTTCATGTAGTTTTCTGTAAACTTTGTGGTCATAGATAGAACTTTGCGGGTTCAACACTAGCTTCTGGTGTGTCAGGTTTTGAAGTGTATGCAGTGAAAAGCTGTGAGCATCCTTCAAGTAAAGTTTACTCTTGGGACTTTTTTCTTGAAACCTAAAATTTTAATCCTGAATCTTCAATCTTATAAGTTTTCCCTGGGTCATTTTAAACTTTGAAGCTAATCTTGCTATGCTTATTCACTTTATTCCTTTGTACACAGAAAAAGCATATTTACTCTCTCCATATTGAAAATCTGGAAGAGGTAGTTCTTACCTTCTTTGACTCTGGTATTGGTCTGCTTCCTCACTTGTCAAGTAAAAGCCTATCCTTTCTGTCCCAGGCATTTAAGCTGTATGTAATTGTGGGCTTGAATACTCAGGATCAGTCAGGGATCTAGACTTTTGGGGGAAAATTTTTTAGATTGCTGATTAACGCTGTGCTTATGATAGAGGGAATTAGGAAACTTCATTACCTATAAAAAGAAAGTTTTTCACTTCCACTAAAATGAAAATTGCTGGACTATATTATTTGTAGTATAAGAAATACTAAATGTTGGCTGGGTGCAGTGGCTCACGCCTGTAATCCCAACACTTTGGGAGGCCGAGGCCGGTGGATCACAAGGTCAAGAGATTGAGACTATCCTGGCCAACATGGTGAAACCCCATCTGTACTAAAAACACAAAAATTAGCTGGACGTGGTGGCGTGTGCCTGTAGTCCCAGCTACTTGGGAGGCTGAGGCAGGAGAATAGTTTGAACCCAGCAGGCAGAGGTTGTCGTGAGCTGATATCATGCCACTGCACTCCAGCCTGGTGACAGAGCAAGATTCTGTCTCAAAAAAAAAAAAAAAAGACTAAATGTTGAAAGAGACAAAGGCAGATAGGAATGGTTGAAATTGAAATATAAAGCCAAACAAAAACCTTATAGCCCCAGAATTTAAAGTAAGTTGGGATATCACAGTGTATTTAATGTTGAATCGATTGAGACCTGAGATAGAAATTTTTAAGGGAAATCTAGCAATAAATATGTTTGTATTTATTTTTCTGGCTAAGTAAACATGAGTGAACATCTCACACAGTTTGCAAGAACTGATTAAATTCCTGATGTATGTAATGATGTGGTTTTCAAATAGGTTATGATCCAGTAGTGGGTCATGAAATCTGATTTTAAAGGAATGGAATAGAAAATACCAATTTGTGTCACACACATAGTAAGAATGGATATTGATTTGTGAAACGCTTTTAAAAAAATAATGTATGTTATATTAGCTGGGCACAGTGGTGTGTACCTGTAGTCCCAACTTTGCGAGAGGCTGAGGTGGGAAGATTGCTCGAGTTTAAGAGTTCATATCCAGCTTAGGCAACATTGCAAGAAAAAATTAAAACAAGTTTGTTGTATTGTGATGTAAAACATAATTCTTATTGTGGATTGTGATGGTCAGTTTCAAAGTTTATGAAGTCACTGCATTAGAGGATATAAAAGTAATTAAAACTCATTCCCATTCTCAAAGAACTCAAAATAACAGATTTTCTATGCCTGATAGTATGTATTTCTGCATATAGCTCAGAATTTCGTGTTCTAGATGGTGGTTGTAAGTCCTCCTTTGGGAAATGGTTCTATGAAGTAAATTGCTGTCACTGTTATTTTTTTGCCAGTGGTTTTTTTTTTTCTTTTTTTTTCTTTTTTTT